AAAAGTACAAAAATAAGAAACAAAAAATCAAAAAAATGGAAGAAAATGAACCCGGATTCTCGCGGCATGCAATGCAATATCTTTTTTTATCTGGCCAAACTCCCTAAAGCGGTATTCGTTCTCGGGTGAACAAGAAGGAATGAGACAAGACAAATAATGTCACCGATGATGCGATAACGAGAGCAAGAGTGAAAACCAAAGCCTTAGGTATGGGATGTCTGGTAGAGCTCAGGGCCTGTTTGCCTTTTCTCTTTTTTGCTTTTTTTATGGAGCGACATCTGCTCGCATTTGCAGTCATTTGCCTTCCAAGATGAATCGTGCTACGACGATTTAATAAGAATTATCCACCGACAATGCCTCGCCTTCTTTCAAAATTCTTCCGTTTCCATAAATATCCACTATGACACTTGAAATAAACGTTTCTTTCGAGAAGTGACGGTTTTTTATCAGGAGGGTAATTTCGCAATTACCCTCCTTTACCATTCGAATGGCATGACTCACATGTGGCGAGGAATTGGGACAGGTGGCAAACGGAAATACACTGGAGCAACATATTATGCTTTTTTGAGAGAAGAATGCATCAGTGTCGCCAAAAGACTCGACAGATAGTGAAATCTAATTGAATCATTTGGTACAATAAATGCGTAACAACCGTCAAATAGCAGATTTTTTTTAAATTCTCAGTTTTTCAATCACGCTTTGATAAATAAAATATAAATTAATAACAATTTTTTTATCATAACTACGACATGTTATTATAATATATATATATATAACAATATATTAAGGATTATATCTTTCACTGATTGCGAGTATATGCTGATTGCGTAGCATGTTTTCTTGTGTACAGGCGTATTAACATTATTCTTTTACTCTTTTATCCGCACGCGTGCTTCAATAAGATTTTTTATCATCTACTCACTAGGTCGTGTTTTCTATCAGACACCCTGTATGCTTTAGGTTGTTAATATCGACCATATATGATGAATAGCGGTGCAACCGAGGGGGAGGGGACAACTTTAGGCTGTTCTTCTAGCACTTTAAACGGAAAGTAGGGACCCCAGTGTTACTGAAATGCTATGAGGCAACGAAAT